AACAATGAAAAAATGAAACCCAAAATATCTGTAAATGTTCATTGAAATTAATTAAAAAAAAAAAAGAAGAGGAAGATGGGAGAGCCCGGCTAGGCACTAACTCTACATCAGACTCTCCGAGTCATGCATTAATTCTGAAATTATCTGACAAAGACTGTCTTTGTGTTATCTTTTGTGATTAGTAACTATAATTCAAAATGAGCTTTTGAGAAAGTAGACTCTGTGATGGGCAAGTCATTAATTTATATATCTTTTTAAAGTATGTATGTGTGTGTGTATATATATATGTATGTATGTGTATGTATGTGTATATATATATATATATAATTTTTTTATAAATCAGCATTTATTTTGTACATTAAAATTTAGTGGCCCGTTTAAGCAGTGCATAAACAATTTTTATTTTAGGTTGAACTCCCTCCACCTGACCTTGGACCAAGTTCAGCCCTAAACCAGACCCTCACGTTGTTGCGTGAAGTTCTGACCTCCCATGACTCGTCAGTCGTGCCGTCAGACGCCCGGCAAGCAGATTTTGTGCAGGTAGGTTGTCAGTGTGGAGCGATTGCTTTCTGACTCTCTATTGTTCATTCTGTTGACGTACTCCTAAAACACCAATCCCTTCTTTGTTTATTTTCCCATCACATGTGAAGTCACTTCTCTTTAAGTACCATTTCTCACTGCTGTCCATTTTAAAAAGCACTGTGGTTATTTGTGATCTTTTTTTCTTATGCTTCTCTGAAGATTAGCCCTTTTCTAATTGGTTTGGCATTAATTCTGAAAGGCCATCAACCCAAGACCATAACGCTAGTTGAGATATAAGGGAAGAAATGAAGATTCTTCTGTTCCTTTGTAGGTTTTGTCCTGTGTGCTGGATCCTCTCCTCCAGATGTGCACTGTGTCTGCCAGCAATCTAGGCACAGCTGACATGGCTACGTTCATGGTGAATTCACTCTACATGATGAGGACCACTCTAGCTTTGTTTGAATTCACTGACCGACGGCTGGAAATGCTGCAGTTTCAGGTGAATGTTGCTATAAAACAACTGCTGACTGTGATGACGGTTGTTTATTTGATTTTTTTCCCCTTTATATACTAGCTTTCAACTACAAACTGTGTCACCCAATTCCTAGAAAAACCTTGGTGGACTCTGGTGGAAAGCCTGAGCTCTGCTTTATATACGTTGTTGTTGTTAGGTGCTATCGAGTCATGTACGATTCGTAGTGATCCTGTGAGCAACAGTTCTGAGCACTGTCCTATGCAGGGCCATCCTCACAGTCACTGACACACTCAAGTTCATTGCTGCAGTCACCTGGTTGAAGGTTCTTCCTCTCCATCGCCATCCCTATACCTTTCCAAGTGTATGTCCGTCTCCTAGGAATAGCCTCTCCTAGCAACATTCCCAAAGTATTTGAGATAGAGCCTTCAAGGAGCTCTCTGGCTGCATCTTCTCCAAGATATAGTGTGTGTGTGTGTGTGTGTGTGTGTGTGTGTTTACCTCTGCATCAATCTCTGATCTGTCAGCCTGTCTGTCTAAAGAATATTTCTCTTTTACCTTTGGAGAAGACAGAGTATATAATGGTTAAAATATTCGATTCAGATCACAGCATGTGATGGTAGTATGAAGCTTTTCTGATGAATTTATTCTGCATGTAGATTTCCATTTCTGAACTGTGAATAATATGCTATATTTCTCAAGCTGTGTAGCCAGTACAGAAGGTGTTACATGGGACAGATATATTTTTATCTATGTGTAAACAGTGTTAGGCAAAACATTACAACTTGTTAAACCAATCACTCTAGTCCTGTAAACCAAATGGTGTCATTTAAGAGTCTTTAAGAATACTGAGACAAAGACACTTATAAAATCTATATTTTCAAACAGTGATACTTAATGATAGATGTAAAGTTTTGAAAGAAAAAATATATAAATATGCATATCTATTGTATTATCATAAATCTATGACTACATTGGCAATGGTTACAACTAGAATTTATTTAAATTTTTAATCTTTCTGAGGAATGAGTTTTGATATATCTAAATTTGTGATATATATAATTTCTTCTTTAAAAAGCTATATAAGTATCTAGAGAACTTAAACTCTACACAGATTTTAAAGTAAAAATGTTCTCTAGGGGAGCTGTCTAGATATGAATGCACTGAAAGATATTCATCCGTAGATAGCACTCTCCTTTCTCCAGATTCTTCCTGAAGGGCACTCTTTTAAAATTCTTTCCATTGCTCCTCGGAGTCCACAAGGTTTTCCAGAATGTCTTTGGACACATCTTATTTTCTGTTATTTCTGTCTAGGAATTCAGAGATCATGCCAGTCTTTGATTGTATTAATGCTTGATCTTAAAGTTTTCTATTTTTTTTTTAATTGAGATTTTAATGAATGTTTATAAAGAACTTGGATGGCCAGTCATTCATTGTTGCACATTTTCCTCCCTGTCTCCCCTCCCTCCCAGTTAGCTTTATTCTTTGGAAAAAGTTCTCTCATTGTTATACAGTTCCCTACCACCACCACCACTTTATTATGCAGTTCTTTTTCTGGACTCTTGTCATGCCAATAATACCTAATCATATATTCCTTTTAGACAGTTCTCTTGCTTGTCCATTTCAATGTCATGTACATTATTTGTCCCCTCTTTTCTCAGTTTCCCCCCAACCCCCATGTCAGTCCTGTTTCGTAACAGTGGCAGTATGCAGTATTTGTCCTTTTGTGACTGAGATATTTCACTCAGTGTAATGTCCTCCTTGGCCACCTATTTTGTATACTATTTCATGAGTTCCTTGTTTTTCAGGGCTGTATAATGTTCCATTGTGTGACTCTACCACACCTTCTCTATACATTCATTTGCTGATGGCCACTTGGATTGTTTCCAGCTCTTTGATATTGTGAACAAAGCAGCAATAAACATAACGTTTTCTATTCTTCAGTTATTCTCCATCTGCTGCTTTGTATATTGTGATGCTTATATCTTTTGCTGATTGTATCTCTATTTAATTGCATCAGTTCTCTAATTTATTATGAAATCTCTTTAGTAATTTTCTATTTCTTTGATTCTTTTGTTTTTATTGTGATTTTAGTGAAAGTTTACAAAGACTTGGTTTTGATTCGTTAATTCATACAGATTTTTTTTTCCTCCTCTCCCTCCTCTTTTTCACTTTGTAATGCTTGTCCTGTTCTGGATTGCTAATTGTCATTCCCAAGAGAGGTGATCCAACAGAATATGGAAATTTTCAAACAGTATCGTTACTATCACAGGCAAGCAAAATACTGCTGAAGATCATTCAAAAATGGTTAACACAGTACATTGACAGAGAACTGTCAGAAGTTCAAGCTGGATTTACATGAGGCCGTGGCTTCAGGGACATCTGATAATGCTGATGTCAAATGGATCCTAGCGGAAAGCAAAGAATACCAGAAGAGTGTCTGTGCTTTATTGATGATGCAAAGGCATTTGATTCTGTGGATCATAGCAAATTATGAATAACACTGAGAAGAATGGGAATCCCAGAACACTTAATTGTGCTTATGGGAAACCTACACCAAGAAGCATTATACAAACAGAACCAGGGAAGCACTACATTTTTTTAAAATTAAGGAAAGCATGCTATCACGCAGCTAAAGAGCTGTATTCTCTCTCCAGACCGATTCAGACTGTATGCTGAGCAAATTATTTGAGAAGTGAACTCTACGAAGAATATGGATTAGAGGTAGACTCATCAATAATTTACCTTATGCAGATGATGCAGCATTACTTATTGAAAGTGAGGAGGACTTGAAGTGCTTGCAGAAGGTCAAAGACTATGGTCTTTGCATCAAGAAAATAAAAATTCTCACCACTGGACCAATAGACAACACGATGGTAGAGGGAGAAAAGAAAGAAACTGTCAATGACTTCATCTTACTTGGATCCACAATCAAGACGCTTGGTATCAGCAGTCAGGAGATCAGGAGACATACTGAACTGGTAAAGTCTGCAGTCAGGTCCCTCTCCAAATTATCGAGGAGCAGTGATGTTAGTTTGAGGACTGAGTTACGCCTGATTCAGGCCATGGTTTTTTTCAGTCACTTACTATCCATCTGAGAGCTGGAAAGTGTCATCTCTGTGACAGAAAAAGAATTGATGCCTTCTAACTCTGAAAAGAATAAACACACATGTCTTGGGGAAGGTATGGTCAGAGTGCTCCTGGAAGGCAAAGATGACACAGCTTTGTCTTGCATACTTTGGGCAGGTTACTAGGAGAGGTAATTCCTTTGATAAGGATAACATGTTTAGAAAGGTGTGGAGGGCTGGCAAAAGAAGGAAGACCCTAACCAGATGGATGACACAGTAACTGCAGCAATGGGCTCAAGTATGTTAGATTGTAAAGATGGCACAGGATAGGACAGGGTTCAGATCTGTTGTTCATAGGGTTGATATGGGTCACACTTGACTTGAGGGTACCTTACAACAATAACAATATTTTTAGTATAGTTACTTCAAAACGAAACAGGAAAGTGTTCAGTGTCTACCAATAGTGGGAGGGAAAAAAATGGCTTATTCTGATTATTTAGATTTTGTCATTTTTAGATTGCTAAGTTCTTTTAAATCATTGTAAATTTTGGGTTTTTTGTTTGTTTTTTTTTTAAGAGGGAAGGGTATAGCAGTTGAAGTATCTTGAATGAAGGCATTCAGACAGTAGCAAATATTGTAGTTCTCAAGGTTCGAAATCGCTGGCAAATGTGCTTGTAAGATTGGGAGACTGTCTTAATGAGAAGAAAGAAGCCCACCAGCCTCTCAGGCTGGACAAATATTATACATTTCAGTCCTTGAGGTGGGTCCCAACGCAGATGGACACCTGTACTCACATCTGCTAGCCTTGTTTTCTTAGGCAATTCCTGAATTTGAAATCTTTGACCAAGTCTCTCTTGGACCTTTAATTCCACCCAGGATTTCACAGACCTGGGTTTGAATCCCCTGCTCCCCAGGAAAATTTAGTGCCTCAGTCTCAGGGGCCTCTCCAGATGACATATTTTATTTGCCGAGTCATTTCAGCTAGTTGAGGGAGTGAAAAGTCCCTCAGAAGGAACATGAGGACCTCCTCATCATTCTTAAATTCTAAGTATTGTTGTCATTGTGTATTTTTTTTTCTTTGTTTTCTCTCTCTTTTTTCCTTTGTTTTTTAATCTACTGTTAAAAGAACTGAAAAGCAAGCCCAACTTAATTTTTTTTCTCCTCTTTCCTCTAGTGGCTGGACCTAAAACCCTCTCTGTCCTTGCTATTATTTTTAAAGAAAGATTTTCTCTCCCTTTTGAAGGGACTTCCCTTCCTCTCAAAGGAAAGAACATGACCTTGTTATAGAAGCAAACACTTTGCTTAAAAATGTCTACCACTTTAACAAACAATGACAAAAACCTATTGGGAAGATCTAAGATCCCAGGGTAGTCTGTTCTTACTCTTCATCAGTTCTATTCTTTTAAAAATAATGTTTTCTCTGTTTTGTATTTGTTTTAGATTGAAGCCCATTTGGACACACTTATAAATGAACAAGCTTCCTATGTTTTAACTAGAGCAGGCTTGAGTTACATCTATAACGCAGTACAGCAACACAAACCTGAACAGGTAAGCCAATTTCCCGATCAGAGAAGTGTTCTGGTTTAGAGCATGGATTCTTGGCCCTGACTCTGGATTTGAATCCTGGTTCACCACTAAGTGACCCTGGGTCACCACCGGTGTGCCCCTAGGAAAGGGCTGAATCCTTTTCTTTCTGTTGCCTCATCTAAAGAGAATTGGTTTTGTATCATGAAGCTGTGCTGAAGGTGACATGAGATAATACATGTACAGGTCTTAGATAACTGTCTCATATATAGTAAAATGTCCTCAAATATTAACTACTACCCTTACTATTCGATGGCACTTAACAACAACAACAACAACAACAACCCTTACTGCTATCAATTCCTTTGGCTAAGGTAATAAAATATGCACAAATTAAATTATAAAGTGTATAATTGTATATTCATACTGAAGAGTCTTCCAGCATCCTCTTCCAGTAACATTTAACGCATTAGGTAAATTGTTATATAAGTAGTAATTGTCCCTTTTTAATTTAGGAAATTAGGGTCTATTATTTTGGAAAGATAATCTCTTCAGGAGTGAGCATACGATCTTTTATCACATGCGTATGATCTTTTAACATACTGCTAAATTATACGACCCAGGAGTTACAGGTAATGGATTGCAGGAATCCTAAAAAGTCAGGTACACCTCTTTCTTTAAATACCAAAGACCTGTCTTGAATAACATTAAGATGAAGTTTGCCATGTGTATTTAATAGGCAAGGATGCGTAAGTGGAGGAAGCTCTCAGTAATCAGGAGTTAGCATTTTCTTCCTTTGTTGGGGTAGAATACAACTTTCTACCAGTAAGAACCCTCCTTTACTTTTTAAAATTATGGAAGTGAAACTCTTGAAGCCCCCATGAGTCATTGGTGTCTTGTAAGCACGTTATTGCCTTCTTTTTCTTACTTCTGAGTGAATTTGGAGCATCTTTTTATTTCCTTTGTTAATAAACCTACTTCCTTTCCCTTCTTCCAGCAATTAGTATTGAGTGCCTTCATGCTCATTATACAAAAATTAATATATCAGACAGGTTCCTTGTTTTTCTTAGGCTTGAACAGGTGACACTTCTTTGAAAATAGTTTAAGCAATATTCTAAATTTAGGCAATCTACTAATGGACTGTGTTACATAAGGGTACTGAAGTGTACATTATGCTTTTTCCTGTAATGTTTTCTCTTGCTCTTTTTAGGGCCCATTAGCCAGTTTGCCCAACCTAAGTCCCGTGGCACTGAAGGCTGCAATGGTAAGTCTGTAAGAAAGCATGTGACTTAGCTTTTCTTGATGCATGTGGAAATCCCTCAGAGCTATTGCCATTCTAGTTCCAGACCACCTCAGTAGAATTAACACTGGAATAACACGAGTCACACACCCCTTTTTATTTTTTTTTCCTCCTCTTTCTTTTCTCTCATCTGATGGCTTAGTGGTAAGGAATTGTGCTGCCAGTGCCAAAGGTATGTGGTTTGAACCTACTGGCTGCTCCACAGGAGAAAGATGGGCAGTTTTTTCTCAAGTGATTTACTGTCTCCGAAAACCCGTTGGAGTCAGCTTTGGGTCGGTTCCATCTCTACAGTACACAGCAGAAGTGCATGTAAACATTATGTCCACACTATACTGTAGTGAAGGAGCTTTGGTTATGTCGCTTCTTACATGTTCAGTTACATGATAACTGGAAAGTTGATGGTTCAAAGCCACCAGGCTCTGCCAGAGGGAAGAGGCAGTCTGTTCCCATAAACTCAGTGAGGGGTCACCATTGTTGAAGGTAATGCCACTGCCATGAGGGGTTCCCCCTGGTTTTGGTGGTTCATTAAGTATAAAAATCACATTATGCATGTACTTAAAATACTGTGGGAATTACCAAATTGTCACACAAAACCACAAAGCACATGTTTTTGGAAAAATAGTGCTGTTATATATACTTGCTCAATGCAATTGCCATAAATCTCCCAATAGGTGAAAAAAATTCTCTCAAAAGCACAATAAACTGAAACAATAAAATGAGGTTTTTACAACTCCATAAGTTGTCTTATACAATAATGTTCTCTTTTAACATGCAATATTTATATTAGACCCAAAATTATGTATTTATTTGTCTGAAAGAGGTCTAGCCAAGACATGTATTTATGGTAATGGTTCACTATACTTGGATAGTCTAATGATTCCATTTTGTTCTATACAGCAAAACGTATTGAAATCTTAGCGAGTGCTGCATAGTTAAGTGCCAACTTGAAGAAAATACAGGCCAGGTCATCTCATATAGCTCATCATCTAGTGGGGAAACTTTTAAGTTACAATTATATACGTTGCTGTACTCCTTCACTCTAAATCACAATTCGGAAATAAAAGTCAGGACTGAAGAAGATCAGTACATAGTACTGTGTGCTGTTCTTGTTGTGTACTGACCCACTGAGTTGGAACTGACCCATAGCTGACCCTCCAGAAGGTTTTCAGAGGCAGTCAATCACAAGGGAGATTTCCCAGCCTTCTCCAATAGAGCACCTGGTGAATTTGAACTGTGTGCCTTTGAGATTGCAGTGCAGTTTCTTACCACCAGGGCACCAGAGCACCCTCTTCTATGTAGACTCCTAAAAATAAACTATGTAGCCGCATAAAAATGCATTTACCGTGTAAAAAGTACAAAATAAGCTCATGCCAGCACACACAAACACATTATTTCAATGACTTTATTTCTGTAGTTGATTCATGTACTCCATAGCGTAAGTTTAAAATGAAGGTTATTAATGGCTATATGAAATCAGTAAACTCTTGTCTTTTGGGGGACATCTGCAGAGCATGCTGTAACTGGGTCGCTGACCCATGGAAGTGATTGTTACAGACACCAAAGACATAACATTGGTTATGAAACGGTTCTATGAGATTAAGTGGAAGATGTAATTGACTCAGGTTCATTTTGTTGTTCATTTACCTCTAATTTGTACTATTGTATCTGTCAACTTCTTCTTTTTTATTTTATTATTATTATTACTATTAACCTCTCTAAGTTACCTTTTCGCATTAGAATGATCAAGTGTTCTGGGATTCCCATTCTTCTCAGAGTCAGCCACAGTTTGTTATGATCTACACAGTCAAA